TCCAGGCCCTCCAGAGCTACACAGGAAGGCCTTGCCATATGCATACATGCATACATATATGTGTATTTTCCTCTTACTCATAGCTAGTGACAGCATTTTCAGAGTGCTGAAGTAAAACCCAAGAACAAATTAGTGCCCAGTGAAGCTTTTTGTTTACTTTTATACAAATGTATTGCATTATGATTGTGCATGTGATGTGGGAGGGTGTGTATCCATGCATGGAGTCAGAGGACAACTTCATAGCGTCAGCTCTCTCCTCCTGCCCTTACGTGGGTTCCTGTTGTTGGATTTTGGCCACCAGGCATGCTCAGGTACCTTTACCTGCAATCTCACCGACATGTTTTTATTTTTGTTTTCATTTTCTTGTCTCTCTGTGTAGCCCTGGCTATCCTGGAACTCACTCTGTAGACCAGGCTGGCCTTGAACTCAGAGATCTGTCTCCCAAGTGCTGGGATGAAAGTCATGCACTACCACCGCCCGTCCTGTCTACCTTGTTTAACCCCAGGAAATCCCTTGAGAGCCCTTTCCAGCCCCAGCTCCTCCCCTGGGATTCCATGTCACCTGTCTCTCCAAGTTCAGTTCTTTCATCTCAAGTTCCATCTTTCAGGGGTTTCTATGGTACTGGTGTCCAGCAGAGTCCTGCCTTTGAGTCTTGCCTCTAGCTCTTCAGCCCCGACCCCCATCTTTGTCTGTCCAAAGCAAATTCTTTAGCTAGTCGGGACTCTTTCCTTTCTTTTTTGGTGGTACCAGGAATGAGCACCGGAGCCTGTGCAGGCATCCACCACAGCCACGCTCAGTCCACCGTGGCCACGCCCAATCCACCGTGGCCACGCCCAGTCCACTCTTGCTGTTTGTACTTATCTTGTAAGTGGAGTATGATAAATGTACAGTAGGACTCACACAGTGGCAGTCTAATTAATCCTTGAGTCCATTAAGGTATGAGCCCTACATGTACCAGCAGCTTCTTGGTCAAGAGGTGTCTTGTTTCTCCCACATGCCCCAGGCAAGCACAGCTCTTACCTGCGTTCCTATGGACTGCTTTTACCTGCTCTTGGTCTTTATTTAAGTGAGGTCATGTAAGATCCATCCTAAAGCTAGCTTTTTTTTTTTTTTTTTTTTTTTTTTTTTTTTTTTTTTGGTTTTTCGAGACAGGGTTTCTCTGTATAGCCCTGGCTGTCCTGGAACTCACTCTGTAGACCAGGCTGGCCTCGAACTCAGAAATCTGCCTGCCTCTGCCTCCCGAGTGCTGGGATTAAAGGCATGCGCCACCACCGCCCGGCCTAAAGCTAGCTTTTTAAAATACATACATTTTAAATTTTAAAAAATTCTTATTTTATATATTCTCATCCCTAAGTCAGTTTTCCATCCCTCCCCTCTCCCTTCTGCCCTCTCTCCCTCCCACCACCCTTTTCTCCCTCCCCTGTTGTGAGTCTCTCCCTCCCACCCTCTCTCCCAGATCCACCCCCACTCCATGCCTCCCTTGAGAAAAGAGCAGGCCTCCTAGAGACATCAACCAACCCTGCAAGCATAACACTGCGTAACAAGCTACAGTAAGACCAGGCACATAACATCACATCAAAGCTGGACAAGGCAGCCAGTAGGAGGAAAAGGGGCCCACAGACAGGCCAGAGAGTCAGGGGCAGCCCTGCTTCCACTGCTAGGATTCCCACAAGAACACCACATACTCAGCCATAACATCTGCAAAGGACCTGGGTCAGACCTCCATGGGCACCCTAATTCTGCTGCCTCATGAGTCCTGCTCAGTTGATTCTGTCAGCCATGTTCTCCTGGTGTGCCCCTGAGCTCCACCTGATGTCCGGCCGTGGGACTCTGCGTCTGCTCCCATCAGTTGCTGGATGACGTTTACTTGGTCTCTTTGATGGTGATTCTGCTAGGCTCCTGTCCCAGAACAAGCTGCAGGCAGGACAAACTGAAGGTTGAAGGTTTGGTGGCTGGGTTGGTGTCCCAATCCCTCTCTCTTCGTGAGGCCTTGCCTGGTTACAGAAGTCCAGGCTGTGTCTAGATGTCGCTAGGGTTTCTTACCTAGATCCTTGAACCTTCCACTGAACTCTATTTCCACCTTGCCACTGAAATGCCCTCCTCCAATTTCAGTCCTTTCTCCCAGTATTTTCCCTCCTTCCACCCCACTAAATCTGGGTTGTAGAGAGGCACGGTAACAGAGACATGTGGGAGGCAGAAGCAGATGAATCTCTATGAGCTCAAGGCCAGCCTGGTCTACATAGCAAGTTCCAGACCAGCTAGAGCTACCAGTGAGACCCTATCACATACGGCCACACACAAAAAAACTAATGTGCGTTCTTGAGCATGGGGGCCAGGGGTGGATGCTGAGGGTTCTCTTCTGTGGCTCTCCAGTGTAGGTCTTGAAGACAGGGTCACTCATTGAATCTGGAGCTCACCAAACGAACACACACACCCCCACACACACTCCTGTCTCTACCCCCACAATGAAGAGGTTACATACCCACACAATTATGTCTGGCTCATTTATATTGGTGCTAGGATCAAACTCAGCCAAGTACTTTAACAACTGAGCCAGTTCCCAAACTCCAAAATTTATATTTTTGTTTTGTTTATCTTTAGGATTTCTAAACTATTTATTTTATGTGTGTGTATGTGGTGGAGGAGTGGGAAGGTCCATGTGGACACATGCCGATGACGGCCAGAAAAGGATGTCAGATTGTATGAAGCTGGAGTTACAGGGAAGAACAGCATGTGCCAAGCCTTCTCCTCAGTCCTTGTGGGTTGTGTTTATTCATACATGAGTATTTCTGTGTGAATACTATGGACACCGTGGGGTCCTATGGAGGCCAGGTTTTCAGATTCTCTGGAGCTGGAGTTACAAGTGGTTCAGAGCTGTCTAGTGTAGGTCTTGGGAACAGAACTTGTGTCCTCAAGAAGAGCAGAAAGTATTCTTAGACATGAGCCATCTCTCTGCCTTTCTTGTTTTGTCTTTGGGACAGAGCTGTATTTTGTAGCTATGCCTAGCAGTGAAGGCAGACTTTCATGTTGGTGTTTTAGTGCAAGCCTGTAACCCAGCACTCAGGAGGCTGCAGTGGGATGCTATTCCAGGCTAACCTAGGCTTGAAAGCAAGTCTGTCTCAAAGGTAATCCCCAAAACTCTCTTGAAGATATTACCTTTCAATTAGTGTGTGTGTGTGTGTGTGCGCGTGCGTGTGTGTGCATGTGCCCCCATGCCCACATATGCTTGAATGTGATGTCCACAGAGGCCAGAAGGGAGTTTAATATCCCCCAGAAGCTGGAATTCATGCTACCCACTGGGGGTCCCGGGGATCAAACTCAGGTCCTCTGCAAGGGCAGTACACACTCTTAGCTGTTGAGCCATTTTTCTAGCCTGGAGACATTATTTTTTAAAGCTCTATATGATATTTTTCATCCAATAGGCTTGCTGTGATTTACTTATTGACTGGGTTTGCTGCTTACACTTAGCATGTCCTGAAGCTTCTGGTTTCTTTCCTTCTCACTATCCTTTTGGAGGAGGGAGGACGCTGGGCATAGAAGTCAGGATGACTTGCATTCTGGGCAAGTCACTGAGTAACCCTCAGACCTGTGTTACTTTCCTCCACAGCTCTTCTCATTTAGGGATGGGGTGGATTGTTGTTTGGTTGGGTGGTTGGTTGTGGGTTTTGTTGTTTTCAGACAGGGTTTTTCTGTGTAGTCCTGGCTGTCCCGGAACTCAGAGATCTGCCTGCCTCTGCCTCCTGAGTGCTAAGATCAAAGGCATGTGCCACCACCGCCCGGCTCCACAGCCCTTAGCTCTTCCCAGCAGGCAGGCTCAAGGAGGTGGACTGAGGCAGGGACTCCGATGGGTCTAGTACTTGGTCTTGGTGCCCAGCCCATTCTTCTTGTCTTAGAAACTCTCTGTCCGCCGGGCGGTGGTGGCGCATGCCTTTAATCCCAGCACTTGGGAGACAGAGGCAGGCGGATCTCTGAGTTCGAGGCCAGCCTGGCCTACAGAGTGAGTTCCAGGACAGCCAGGGCTACCAAAAAAAAACCCAAACCTCTCTGTCCTTCTCCCGGGCCCATACCCTATTCTTCATCTCCAATGGATGCTGTCAGCTAAGCAGAGGGGCCTAGAGCCCTGATGGCTGGAAACTGAGTCACTGAGTACAGGAAGTAGTCTTCCTGCATTGAGGAGCCAGAGTGAAGCAAAGTGTTCCTCTTAGATAAGGCCTGGGCTGGAGAGATGGCTCAGTGGTTAAGAGCTCTGACTACTCTTCCAGAGGTCCTGAGTTCAATTTCTAGAACCCTCACGGTGGCTCACAACCATCTGTAATGGGATCTGATGCCCTCTTCTGGTGTGTCTGAAGACAGCAACAGTGCACTCATATAAATAAATAAATCTTTAAAAAAAAAAAAAAAAAGGAAGAAAGAAAAGGCCTACAGGTCAGTGAGTTGAGGGGACCTAACCTGGGAGGACGGAGGGCGGGGTCTTGCCCCTCCTCCCTGTGCAGATCCAGGCTTTGGTTCTTGTGTCAGGGTTCTTGCCTGCATGTATGGACATGCACTACATGCATGCCTGATACCCATGGAGACAAGAGGGCATTGGCGCCCTGGAACTGGAGCCACAGGCTCTTGTGAGGCAGCATGTGGGTTCTGGGAACAGAACTTAGGTCCTCTGGAAGAGCAGCCAAAGCTCTTACCCTCTGAGCCATCTCCTGACAGTTTTTAAAAGTTCAGAGCCCTGGTATCTCACTCTAGACTTTCCTCCTCTTCAGAATTCTAGTAACACCGAAGCATGGTGTTGTGTCCTTCCACTTGAAGGACATGTATAGTGGCAGGCTGGACTTCTGAAGCCTTGGCAGAGGACTGGGGCTTGGTGACCTTGCAGTCCTTGTCCATGGGCAAACTTCTCCTCAGGTCCGAGTGCTTCCTCAAGTCTCACTAGCCAGAGAGAAGCTGGGAGGGGGATGAGAGGAACCTGGGACCCACGCCCCCGGCTCATCATTGCCTTTCTCCAGGGGGACTCTGCAACCTGTGTCCCGACAAGGCCAACAAGGAGCACATCCTGCAGACAGGCGGCGTCCCACTCATCGTCAACTGCCTGTCCAGTCCTAACGAGGAGACGGTGTTATCCGCTGTCACCACACTCATGTACCTCAACTCCCCAGGCACCCGCGCCCATCCTGAACTCACCTCCCTGCCCGTGGTCCAGTGCATGCTGCGCTTTTCTCTCTCAGCCAACACAAGGCTCAGGAACTTGGCCCAGATATTCCTAGAGGATTTCTGCTCCCCAAGCCAGGTGGCTGAGGCCCACAGCCAGCAGGCCCATTCTGCCCTGGGTATCCCACTGCCAAAGGCTGAGGCCCCACAGCAGCCCTGATCCAAGGACACTTCGAGATCCTGCCACCTTCTGTTCGAGACCAGCCCTGGCACAGGCATAGGAAGCAGAAGGCTGATCCTGAGCCCATCCTGCCCAGGTGGTGCTGTTCAGCTGCATGCAGGCTGCAGTCTCAGCATGACGGGCATTTACATCTAGGAAAAGCAGCAGGCGTGACGAAGCCAGACTTGAGATGCTTGGAGAAAACCAAAGCTGGTATGGCTTTCATGGACTGGCTCTCAATAAACTACAGACAGAACCACCCACCTCTGGTGCCCCCAGTGCCCAGCTAATACCCTCGTGTAAGAAGCTGCGCACCTGGGAGAGTGGCCAGTACCGTAAGTGTCCAGAGTAATTTTCATGGCGAAAATGCCGTGGGTTAACCCCTCCAGTGTTGAGGCTGAGTATCTGGGCACGGTAGCATTGACTCGGATAGCTCTGCAGACCTGAAATGACTGTCCACACAACCCTGCTCTCTGCTAGGCTCCCTATGAGGGATGCAGAGGTGAAGTCTCTTCCCACGGGTGTCACAGTTCAATGGGTGTTAACTAAAGGCCACTGGGCATCAGGAGCAAAGCCCTGCAGGTGCGAGCAGGATAAAGGACAGCTGCGTGCACAGGGGCACGCCTTGTCTCTCTGGGGAGGCCTACAGAGGATCCTGGGATGTAGACAGTAGCATCAGCTCCAGTGTGCCAGGCTGTGAACCTCTCATGTACCAGCTGCCAAGTGTGGCCTCCCTGTCCCTTCAGAAGAGTTGTTCTGGCTCCCTTTGCCTGTGAGTCGAGTCTTCTGACACTTTGGTGGCTGCCCTGGACATGAACCCTTCATGGGCTATCCCAATCTGCTCCCTGCCATTCTCTCAGGAGCCGTGAACCTCCAGTAGGTGCTGCCAGCCCCTTAGGACTTGGATGCAGACCTTCAGTAAAAACACCTAGAAACTAGATGCCCAAGAACCACAGCGGCTCAACCTGTGATCTGATCCCTTGAGAGACAGAAGCAGGAGGATGGCGATGAGTCTGGTCCAGCCCACCTAGTGAGTTCCTGACCAACTTGGGCCATGGAATAAGATCCTGTCACAAAGGTTCTGTAACTGGTGACCCTGCCCTCCTCTGCCAATGAGAAGAAAACAAAAAAAAAAAAAAAAAAAAGCTAGGGGAAAAGTGTAAAGTGTATGCCTGACAAGAAGTTGGGGTTTAGGAGAAATGGGGGCCCTGATCACTCAGCATTGTCCTCCCTTGACAGAGCTAGAAGGGCTGGAGGGGGGCTGGCCGTACAGCCACTGGATGAAGGAAGGAGGGGAACCTCTACCAGTGCGGCTGTCCCTCCCCCAGGAACTAGCCCTCTCCTGTCCCAGGAAAAGGGGCTTCAAAGAACCAAAGCCTTGCATTTGGTTTTTATTTTTATTAAAAATCTCTTGATTTTCTCACTGTATTTATGTGCTAGCCTCGTTTCTTCTGGGTGTAGGCTTCATGGGAGGGGCTGGAAGGCAATTTGTTCACGTGGCAGCTACAGTGGCTCCCTGAAAGTCACCTGTCCAGGCAGGGTCCTGCTGACCCAGGCCAGGGTCCTTCACAGGCTGGCTCGCTTACTGTCTATGATTCCCCTCCAATTGTCACTCCAGGAAAGCAGCCGTCTTCTTGTGGGGGACAGTGTCAAGTGCTGATTGTGGCAGCAGGTGAATAAGATATGTTCCCAGCTTGGGGTCTCCTCTAGACCTGGGGCAGTAAAGACAGCAGGCGGTCTGTAATCTGGTTATTTTTACTCCTGCCCCTTAATCCCAGCAGGCCAGATGCCTGGAGGCTGTCAAGGTTTACAGGCCCAACCTTGAATGTTGTCTTTGTCATCAATGAGCAGGTCTCCCATGACCAGCGTCTTGTCCCTTGTCAGGATAATCCGCTCCACAAACTGTGGCCCCAGGTTCTGCTCCACCCAGCGGTACTGTACAGGTGGGGGGGGAAAGGTCAGCGGAGCTAGCTAGGCTCAGAATGCAAGATACAAGGCACGGGGGCTGAGTGGGACTGAGCCCTCAAACGCACGGGACCGCCTTCACCCAGCCCCCATTTTCTGAAGCTTATTTTCTAAATCAAAATTGGAAAGCCAAATCTGCGCAGGCGCCAGCACCTTCTCGCCCACACAGTGGTCGTACTTCAGCAGTGGGGTGGTGCAGATGAAGACCTCGGTGCTGCGGAGAAGGGACGCAGTTAGACCTGGGGCACTCACTGGCCGTCTTCCCGCCGCCCCCTCCTCACCCTCCTTACTCTTGCATGTCGTTCATCTCTCGCAAAGCGTCCAAGGCCCCGGGGATGGGTTCCAAGTTTAGGAAAAAGCCTGGCGCTTCATACACACTGACCACTTTTTCCTGAAAGAGAGAGATCTTGGTCCCGCTCCTGCCTTCCAGCAGGGGGAGCCCAAGAGAAGCAAGAGAAGACCCACAAAAAAGATTCTGCAGCAGCCCTCGGTTCGTGTGTGTGTGTGTGTGTGTGTGTGTGTGTGTGTGTGTGTGTGTGTGTGTCTGGTGTGTGTGTGTGTGGTGTGTGCATGTGTGGCGTGTGGGGTGTCTGTGTGTATGCGCGCGTGTGGTGTGTGTGAGCGTGCGTGTGTGTACACCCTTTCAGGCTTTTCAGGATTTCTGGTTGTGGGGTGAACTGTGGATTCACACAGCTTGGCGGCCTAGAAGAGAACACAGACTAGAACTCAAGACTAGAGGTTCCCCGTCGGGTCTCCTACCTCCAGGTCCGGCCGGAGGGCTCGGTACTGCTCGTTGGCGAAGAAGCCCCGGCGCTGCTCCAGCGGCACGTGCGGGTCCCCGGGGAAGCGGCGGCGGAAACCCTGCAGGAGGGCAGACTCGAAGTCAGCTAGCACGCCGTCCATGTCCACCAGCACGCGCACCGGCCGCTTCACCGCCATTGCCACGCCCGGTGTCTCCGAGGAAGACAGCAGCGAGCACCGAGGATGCCAGACCCGGAAACAAGCTTCCGGGACGGGGGAAGGGGCGGGCCCGACTCTGTCATTTGCATAGAGTGGCCAACGAGGTGCCCAGGATGGCGTTTCGTCCCTTATGGAGCTGCCGCTCCTGTGCAGCATCGGAATCCCTCGCCCATGACCTCCAAGATCTGAAATACTTTGCAGAGGGGGACCCGCTCCGCTTGCTGCATGCATACTCTGCCTCTCCCATGCTTGTCAAGACTGGAGGCTGACAGAATCATGAGTGCCCCAGTTCAAAGCATGAGAAGGACCCCTTAAAGCCAACTGTGGGCATGAGCGGGGCTTTCATAAGCCAGAGTTGGTTTGAAACAGTTGAGTCCATTACTTTTTTCCCGTGGAACCGAGATCTCCCGTAGAATCGAAAGCTTTTATATCCTAGAAAATGTTAAACCTTGACACACGCAAACCTGTTCTTGTAGATGTCAGAGTCCATGGCAACATTACATTCAATTGACCAACCTATAAATGCAGGTTTCAGTTGAGTGAGCCCTCTTGCTGACTATTCTTCCTTATGTAAAGGGTTTGTTTTTTTCTGACTCGGGGTTTCTCCACATAGCCCTGGCTGTCCTAAAACTGACTATGTGAACCAGGCTGCCTTCAAACTCCCAGAGATTTGCCTGCTTTTGCCTTCCATGTGCTGGGTTTAAAGGTGGGCACCGCCACACCCCGATATGACATGACTTCCAAACCATGGCAGAAGTATGTCAACACGGAGCCTGACACCTCACTTGAAGAAAAGCCAGTTTAAAACAAACAAAGGAGCAGAGTATGGTGGCACACATCTTTAATCCTAACACTTAGGAGGCAGAGACAGCTCCGAGTTCCAAGTCAGCTACATAATGAAGACCCTATCTTAAATTTTAAAAACACAAAGAAGCAAACAAAACCGGTAAAACAAACAACAAAAACATATCCCAGCAAGTTCTTACTTAGGGACTGAATTTTCACTAAGACAGTTTTCACATAAACTGAGTTAAAAGGTTCATCTGCTGGTTTTTCTCTCCTGCCCTTTCAGTAACTTTTATTTAAGAATATTTTGAGAATCCCATACATGTATACAATGTATTTTTACCCTATTTACCCCAGATTTCCCCCAACCTCTCCTGGACATCTCCCCCCCCCCACCACCACCCTCATTTTTTTGCAACAGGGTTTTATGCACCCAGGTTTGCTTCAAATTCACCACCTACCTGGGATAGCCACTAACTCTAGATGCTCCTGCCCCTGCCTCAAGTGTTGGGATTAAATGCATGCACCACATGCAAGCACCCAGAGGGCCAGCAAGCTTCAAGCCATGGAGCTAGAATTAGAACCAGTTGTGAGCTGCTAAGTGGGTGCTGAGAACTGAACCTGGGTCTTCTGCAAGAGAGTGAATCTTATTTTGAGACAGGGTTTCTCTGCCTAGCCCTGGCTGTTCTAGATCTCCTTTCATAGACCAGGCTGGCTTCAAACTCACAAGAGATCCACCTGCCTTTGCTTCCTGACTGCTAAGATTAAACATGTGCTACCTCCGCCGGGCGGTGGTGGCGCACGCCTTTAATCCCAGCACTTGGGAGGCAGAGGCAGGTGGATTTCTGAGTTCGAGGCCAGCCTGGTCTACAGAGTTCCAGGACAGCCTGGGCTACACAGAGAAACTGTCTTGAAAAATAAAAAAATAAAAAATAAAAAAAAAGTGTGCTACCACTGCCTGGGCCAGCAAATGTTCTTAAGCACTGGGCAATCCTCCAAGCATACCAACCCCATTTAAAAAATGGTTTGAAAATGTGACTTTACAGATTCTTTTCTAACTTGGGGTGATAAACCCCATCCTGCAAATGTTTCCAGACAGTCCCCTAAAATCTGCTCCAGTAACACTGTGGCTGGTTGAACCGCCACACCTGCCACCAGGTGCTTATCTCTATAATAAAAGTTAAGGCCAACTATCAAGTTAGAACACCAACTAGGGAACTCCCTTCCCAGGAGCCCCACTCCTGCTAAGAGGCTGAGAAAGAGGGGTACAGTTTTTTTTTGGGGGGGGGGGTTTCGAGACAGGGTTTCTCTGTGTAGCCCTGGCTGTCCTGGAACTCACTCTGTAGACCAGGCTGGCCTCGAACTCAGAAATCCACCTGCCTCTGCCTCCCAAGTGCTGGGATTAAAGGCGTGCGCCACCACCGTCTGGCGATGGGTACAGGTTTACTCCCTGTGAGATTCATAGTAGAAAACCAGGCCTTTAACAGCCATGGCCCTATTCAGGCTAGCCTGTTGCAATACACAGAAATGATTGCAGCCTACAGCTGTCAATCAAATATTATGTAAAATATTTTAGAACCTAGTTATGCCTTTTTTTAAAGATTTATGTGAGTACAGTGTTTATCTCTTCAGCCACACCAGAAGAGGGCCTCAGATCCCATTAACAGATGGTTGTGAGCCACCATGTAGTTGCTGGGAATTCAACTCAGGACCTCCGGAAGAGCAGCTAGCACTTTTAACTGCTGAGCCATTGCTCCTCCCCGTCAGGAAGCAGTCTTAACTGCTAAGTCATCTCTCTAGCCTTGCAATCTCTGCTCTTAAAGATACACCTAGTAGTTCCAAGTTCTGGCTTTACCAGTAAGTAGTAAGCTCAAGTGGCAGGCAAGGGAGCCCAGCCTGTCAGAAACACAAGTGGACCTCCAGCCAGGTCTTAAAGCCAGATTTGGAAACCACATGACATTGTGACAGTTGACCTGAACCTTCTGTCCATCCAGCCCAGAAAGCTTCCTGCTACCTTGTTTGTGGGGCAGCCTATTGTAGTCATGTGGACTCTCCCACTGTAGCCTGCATCATTAGAACACTAGCCATTATGGATCTCAAGGTAGAAACCTACCTTGGTATTGGGGGTGGGAACACATGATGGGATGGGATGACAGTGAAGGTGACAAGGGAACAGAAAGACTCTACACAGAGAAGACTGGCTACAGGGGTTCAACAAAGTCAGGGCCTCCTACATCTGCCCTGGCTCGAAGACAGACTTAACTGTTAGTCTGATCCTACACAAAGGATCAGAGGTGGAGCTGACCCTGCTGGCCAGCTGTGGCGGTGTACAGCGCTGTATTACAGCCTGTGGGATGCTGACATTAACTCAAAACAAGAGCTACAGGGTGACAATCTGTCTCAAGGAAAAAAAAAAAATCTAACCTGCATTTTCCAAGAAAATTCTATTTGCCCTTGGACTTCATTACACTGTTCAACTCTGTTCTTTAAAAAAAAAAAAAAAATTAAGTTTTTATTTACCCAGACATGTGTGTCTTTGAGTGTATGCTATATATGGGGGAGGGGGGGCTAGAAACGGGAGGGAGATCCCACCTGGGCCTCCTGCTGGATTGCAAGCAGAAGTGAGCCACCTGGGTGCTAGGACTTGAACTCTGACTCTCTGAAGACAGTCTCAGGCGCTCTTACCCAGAGCCATCGCTCCAGCCCCACTAGCTCAACTTTGAATGCTTTATCAAATTATCAAATGCCATTCGGTGGCATTGTTTCTAGGAAAGGAAAGGTCCAGGAAGGACACTTAAACATTGTCAGAAAGTGGACTGCAACTCCACTGGCATGCAGGAAACCAGCCAACACCCTCAGTGGGTTCCATCCCCAGCACTGCATAAACTGGGCATGGCGGTACAGACCTAGATACAGCATTTGAAGGTGGAGTCATGAGTCCAAGGGCAGCTTCAGCTACACAGTGGGCACTCTGTCACACACACACACTCTACCCCCCAAAAAAGACAGAACACAGTGCTTCAAAAGGTGGGCATTGTTTACTTTAAGCAACAGTCCAGGACTAAGAAGTACAAGTGTCAAGGATGAATGAGACTTTCTTTCTTCATGGTCAAGCACCAGCGTCATGCACATGGCAGAGTTCTTCCTTTAGGATCTCCCTGTGGGACCTGCACCTACAGCCCCATGCTGGGACAGCCTCCCTTGTGTGCTTCACCTCGAGATTCCAGGCAGCTTGCTTGTATACCTGAAGCCATCCTCTACTCTGGGTGGCTCTACCCAGCAGCCGGCCCGTCACAGTGGCCACTGGCATCCTCGGTATGAAAGCAGCTCCTTTGCTTGGCAGGCAGCGGGATGTGAGGTACAGCTGCTTTGATCACTCCACATGGCACGGGAGGGTGCACTTAGCAAAGGGCACTGACAGTGGGGCAACAGCGAGGAGAGAGGAGTGGACAGTGGGGAGCAGGGGCTGCTGTCTGTCCCATCCCAGTAAGCCAAGTACAGCGTCAAAAACCCTGGTACATAAGAGTCTCTACACATCAGGAACCAGATCATTTGTTCTTAAAAACAGTTACTACTCCTGTCTACTACTAGGAAACACTCATGCCATGGCCCACAGACCCAGGAGTCAGACAGAAGAAAAAGGAAGAGAGAAAGCAGGGGGAAAAAAGACAGCAGTACATAAAGTGCTTCTCTTTTAATGAAACAAATCTGAAAGATATACAGTCAGGCTCACGTTGTGCAGTTCACAAGCATGGAAAAACAAACAAACAGAAGGACAGAGTTCCAACACAAGAAGCTAACCCAAGACCAGGCTGGACTTGCCACCAGGGGGGTTTCTCCTGGATGGCGCTGGGGCCGGAGCCACTGGGCTGGGCACAGGAGCAGCGGGCACCGGCTTCTCTTCCATCTGCGCCAGGTTGGCTTGGAAGTCTGTGTCCACAGTTTCTAGGAAGACAAAGTTTCAAATGGTTCAAAATGGTTCAACAAGTGGAAAAAAAGATATCAACAGTCACCAATTGAGGTAATTGTACCCAGAAACGGAACCTGTCAGTATGTTGCCTACTCGTTTTGTGTACATGTGTGGTTTTCAAATTTATACAAACAGGCCGGGCTTGGTAATATATGCTTTTAATTCCATGTGGTGGAGGCAGAAGTATCAGAAGTTCAAGGTCATACCTTGCTATATAGAATGTTTGAGGCTAGCCAGGGCTACAGACTGATACTTTCTCTAATAGAGAAATATTCTATTCTCTAATAGAATATATGAATAGACTGTGTGTCTGCACTCCTCTGTACATGTGGAGGCCAGATATGGTGTCTGTGCTGCCATTTTTGATCTTATTGCTTTTGGATGGGTCTCACAGATCCTCAGATTTTAATGGGTGATGGGTCAACCCAGACTTGGGAGCTGGCACAGCACCAAGAGCTTTGAACTTGTGACCTTCCTAATGTCTCCTAGATGGTGGGTTTTAGGACCATGTACCATACTGGCAACTCCATTTATGAATTTTGAACTCAATAGCCATGGAATGACATAATCAGCTACATGTAAAATCCAGCCTGAAGCTTTTTTCCCCCTAAAGTGAGAGAGAAAAGATCCCAAGTATCTAGCTACAATTCCATTATGCAAGAAACAGGACCAGATGTACAGCACCTGTTTGGTTTGGTTTGTTTTTTTTGAGATAGGGTTTTGCTGTGTATCCCTGGCTGTCCTAGAACTCACTCAGCACCGAACACTTAAGAGATTGGCCTGCTTCTGCCTCTGTGCTGGAATTAATGGTGCATGTCACCACCACCCTGTGCTTTCTCTTTTGAGACAAGGTACCTCTGGCTGTCCTGGAACTCACTATATGATGCATGCCTTTAATCCCAGCACTCAGGAATCAGAGAGGGATGGAGGCCATCTGGTCTGTATTGAGTTCCAGGAACACCAAGCCTACATACAGAAACCCTGTCTCAAAAAAAAAAAAAAAAAAAGGCTGGGCAGTGGTGGCGCACAACTTTAATCGAGGCCAGCCTGGTCTACAGAATGAGTTCCAGGACATCCAGGACTACACAGAGAAACCCTGTCTCGAAAAAACAAAAAACAAAACAAAAAACCAAACAAACAAACAAACAAAAAAATCAAGCTAAATCAAGCTATCTTCCAGCAACTATATGGCAGGCAATCTTCATAAACTATTCATTCCTACCATTTACATTTGCCTTGTGTCATCAACAAACCTGTTTAATTTTTCACAATAAAGCCAAAAAACAAAAAGAATCCAAAAGCAATCCTACAGACTAAACATTAAACAGGCAGTGGCAGAAGCCAGGTGTGCTGTTAGGCCACCGAGAAGGTGATGAACCACACTGACACATATACATGTGACATGGGAAGTGGAGAGTGGATAATGTTCAAGACCAGCCTGGGTTACCATAAGACAGTGCCTCAGAAATAAAATGTAAACACTAAGCAATAGTGCCGTACACCTTTGATCACAGCGCTTGGGAGGCAGAGGCAGGAGGATTTCTGAGTTCGAGGCCAGGCTGGTCTACAGAGTGAGTTCTAGGACAGCCAGGACTATACAGAGAAACCCTGTCTCAAGTAACCAAATACAAAATTACAAAAAAAATGAAAATAAAAGAACCAAAAAAAAAAAAAAAAAAAGAAAAAAAGAAAGGAAGGAAGGAAGGGGCCAGAGAGATGGCTCAGCAGTTTAGAACAGTTTATCTGCTCTTCTACAGGTCTTGAGTTCAATCCCCAGCACCCACCTGATGGCTCACCGCCATGTGTAATGGGATCTGAAGCTCTCTTCTGGCCTGCAGGTGTACCGCAGATAGAGAGCACTCATTTACATAAAATAAATCAATCAAGGAAGTCAAGGAGCTGAATGTAGACGCCGTAGACGGCCACATTTGAAGCCAATCCCAAACTGACACCCAGTCCCAAAATTATAAACAAAGGAAGCAGGGGAGCTGGAGAGAGGCTCGATTTAAAAACACGGGCTGTTCTTCCAGCACAGTTCAGAGCAGCTCCCACACAGCTGCTCCCAACCATCTCCTACTCTAGTTGAGGGGATCAGGCCTCCTCAGACTGCAGGTACACACAGTGCACAGCCATGCAAGGGGGTAAAACACTCATATACATAAAATAAAAATCATTTAAAAATTTAAAAATAGGAACTAAAAGCAAGCATAAGGTATTAATTACTTCTATGGCAATTTGAAATAAATACCAGTGTTCAAACTTGTAATTCTAAAGGGGAATACTTTTTTGTAACACTGAAGATCAAACTCAGGGCCTTGGACATCAAAATAAACTTTGTGTATACTAACTTGCTATTTAGCTCATCAACAAGATAACTGAACAAGACACTAGTGCCTGAAGAGAACAGAATGATTCATAGTGAGACGCTTCAGAGTCAGAACAGAAGAAACATAACAACTACCTCTATCTAGCCTGCTGCCTACATTTCCTTTCTGCTAAACATACATCGGGGTTAGGTTTGAAAAGACCAGGCTACTCCCTTGCTAAGTCCAACACTACCAGTGAGCCTCCAGACTCTTCCCCCACCCCCACCGTTTTTATTTTTTGAGACAGCATTTGACTATGTAGCCAGGCTAGCCTGGAACTAGGAGAGATCCTCCTGCCTGTCTCTCGAGTGTTGGTATTAAAAACTAAAGACATAGCTAGGTGTGGTGATGCACTCCTTTAAATCACAGCACTCAGGGCACAGAGGCAGGCGGATCTCTGTAAGGTCAAGGCCAGCCTTGTCTACAAAGCAACTCTAGGACAGCCAGAGGCTTGTTATATAGAGAAACTGTCTCAAAAAAAAAAAAAAAAAAAAAAAAAGAAATGAAGAAAGAGCCGGGCAGTGGTGGCGCACACCTTTAATCCCAGCCCTTGGGAGGCAGTGACAGGTAGATTTCTGAGTTCAAGGACAGCCTGGTCTACAGAGTGCGTTCCAGGACAGCCAGGGCTACACAGAGAAATCCTGTCTCGAAAAAACAAAGAAACAAAAAAAAAGAAAGACTAAAGACAGTCTAGCACATCCAATTAATTAAAAACCAAAATTAAATAAATATAATCTGATTGATTAAAGACTTAAACTCACACACCTAGCTCATTAGCTAGCTCATAGCCATCACTTGCCTCCTCCCTGACCCCAACCTCTTTCTGCAGCCTATGTTTCTGACTGGGCCTTGAACTCTTGATGGTTCTGCCTCACCTTCCACTGTGCTGGGCATATAGATTACAAGGCTGCCAGGCCTAGCCCTCCCCTAAGAGCAGGGCCAAGTTCCTCCTTGTAGACACTGTATTTAATTACCCGAAGGTCATGGCTCTTTGCCTCATATCACAACAAAGCCTATCTTTGTTGTGATATGAGAAAGATGTTGAATGCATCCCCCCTCAAAGCTAACTGAAAGAACTGGAGCTGACCTTCAATCCAAGTATGTACTAGTTGTTATTTTATGACAAATGGGCTAAAAGTTACAGCAGTCAGAAGTGCAGAATAACCAGAGGACAACATATTGCTGACCGACCATTTAAAGAGAAGTCCATACTAGAGTGAGCCCTTCCCTGCATACTGTGCGGCTGTACAGAGATAGAGGAGCAGGAGGTAGCCACCACTCAAGACATGCTGCATCTATCTTCAGGGCTCTCTCCAATCAGACTAGCTGGCTAAAGGCACAGCTCAGTGGTACAGTGCTTGCTAGCAGTCACAGGGTGGTGGGCTGTGTGGGAGGCACTGTTCTAGCAGATTCTGTTAAGTGCAGCCTAACAGTGCAGAACTCTCAAAGCACACATCAGAGCACACCATGGGTGCTGATCTGGTCAGTGCTCCCTTACACAGGGCTCGAATCCAACCCTCTGTACTGCAAAAACACAAAACGAAAACCAGGTAGAGTGACACATCCCCTTAATTCTACAACTCAGGTTTCTGAGTTCGAGGCCAGCCTAATCTATAAACTTGAGTTCCAGGCAAGACAGGAATATATAGTGAGACTCTGGTTTTTTGGTTGTTGTTTATTTTGGTTTTGTTTTCTTTTTGTTTTTTTGAGACAGGGTTTCTCTGTGTAGCCCTAGTGCCTGCCTCTGCCTCCCAATGAACTTTTTAATAAACTTTTAAATAAACATTTTTTTGTGTGTTTTTTTGTTTTTTGTTTTTTGATTTTTTCGAGACACGGTTTCTCTGTGTAGCCCTGGCAGTCCTGGAACTCACTCTGACCCTGATTTTTTTAAAGGGGGTTTTGTTTGTTTCTTTTTTCTTTCTCTTTCTTGGTTTTTCAAGACAGGGTTTCTCTGTATACCCTTAGCTGTCTGGAAATTAACTCTTGAACTCAGAGATCCACCTGCCTGTGCCTCCCTAGTATTAGGATTAAAGGTATGCGCCATCCCCATGCCCAGTTTAAATTTTTATGTTTTTATAAGTATTTTGCCTGCAGCCTCATGAGTGACAGCCACACAAGTCAGGCTGTTGAACCTGGGGGTGGAATTACAGATAATTGTAAGACATGTGTAGGTGCTGAGACTCGAACCTAGGTCCTCTGAAAGAGTAGCCAGTGCTCGTAACCACTGAGCCAGCTCTCCAGGCCAGAGCCTATGAAAAATGTCAATAAGCATACCAAACATTGGCCTGATGGATACATGCTCTTTTAAAGGGGTTCTTGGTTTTGTTTTTCCTTTTTAGTATATTTCTAGCAGATTAAACCTTGATACTAGTGGGGTGGCTTGGCTGCCTCAATAAAAGTGGCCACACTGACTACTGTCCAGCTTCAGCTTTCCTTTCTTTCTAGGGTATGATTTGAATGTTAACTCAGACCTTCTACCAGCAGTCAGCGCTAAGATATACTCACCATGCATATCACCTTCTCCCTGAAAAAGAAAATTTCAGAATTAGTTTCTGTTTTAATTCTGCAACACATAAAACAGTCATAGTTCAAGAGAAGCTAGTCTATTTGAAATTAAATGTGAAATCCTATTTTGGGCTGGATGGGATTAATCCCAGCACTTGGGAGGCAGAGGAAAGAGATCTCTGAGTTCAAGGCCAGTCTGGGCTACAGAGTTCTATGACAGCCAGAGCTACACAGAGAAGAAACCCTGTCTCAAAAATTCTATTCTGGGCCGGGCGGTGGTGGCGCACGCCTTTAATCCCAGCACTCGGGAGGCAGAGGCAGGCGGATTTCTGAGTTCGAGGCCAGCCTGGTCTACAGAGTGAGTTCCAGGACAGCCCGGGCTATACAGAGAAACCCTGTCTCGAAAAACAAAACAAAACAAAAAAAAAAAAAAAAAAAAAAAAAAAAAAAAAAAAAAAAAAAAAAAATTCTATTCTGGTAAATACAGGACAGAGCAAAAACCTCATTGTAATCTGGGCCCACGCTATATAGCTGTCCAGCACAATAACCAGCCCCAAAGTCAGTAGTAACACAGGCATCCAGTAGTAACACAGGCAGGCAGGCAGGCAGGCAGACAGACACAAACACACACAAACACCCTGAACCAGAGGAACTTTTCTCAAAAGGGGAATGGTGCGCCTCGGCTTCCCTTTTCTCCCTCCTTCCCCTAGGCAGCTGGCCTGCCACAGGCCCTGGCTATCCCACAGCTCCTGCATAGCCTCCCTACACCTAGAAGTTGATGCCTCAGGGTATTCCGAGGTAGTCAGAAAGACTTCCTCCCAGGTGAGCTCCCTCCCAGACACGCCCAGGGAACTCAGTGGCAGCTGTCTACAGGCATATAAATACCACTGTGACATCGGTGCTGCCAAGGCCTGAAGTTTAACTCAAACAATCAGACAATTGACATAGCTCTTCAAGATGCTAGATACATGATGTTCAGAGGAAGGTGAGGGATTCGGAAGCCGCGGGATCAACGCTGAAGGGTTTAAGACTAACCTAATGCTAAGAGACGTCTATCAGGTCAGGTTAACTCACTCATCTGACCTTCTGGCCTTCCTAAAGCTTTTTTGAGGTAGATCTCATGTATCAACTCCCTGTGTAGCCGAGCTTGTCAGCACTAGCTCCCAGAGGCTGGGATTCTAGGTGGGAGCCGCCACACTGGTCTCATGTGGCAGTGCTGGGAGACCCAGGTCCTCTGGCAAGCTAGGGAAACACATCGACTGAGTTCCGCCTGCAGCCTGCTTGTCTGGCTTTTTTGTCTGAGTTTACACCGTAATTTTCATTACCAAGACTGCTCTGCACATTCTCTTAAGGAGAACTGAGCTAGTAAAAAGAAAACAGAAAAAACACTTATTTTAAAAACAAGGGGGCATTTAACCACAGAGCCCTTGGCTGCCCCATGAGGCTGTCTTGTTATCACACTGACCTTGAGGTCTAAGAAGTCTCCAGAGCTTGCTTCAGAAGAGTTACTTCTCTGTGTTCCAGGCGACTCCGAATCTTCCCTGCCACCACTAGACTTGGCACCTAGAAACCAATATGTACAACAGTAAGGGGCTAGAGATGGCTCAGTGCTCTCGGCTACTCTTCCAGAGGACCTAGGTTCAATTCCCAGCACCCAATTGGCAGCTCACAACTGTAACTTCTGTTACAGGGATCTGTCAACTTCATACAGACATACATGCAGGCAAAACACAAATGTACAAAAAATAAATTAAAAAAAAAAAAAGTTCCATTCCTAGCACCCACATGGTACACATACATGCATGTAGGCAAAACACTCAATACATGTAAAATGAATCATTAAAAAAAAAAAAAAAGTGTTTCCTATCACAAAATGAAAGAAGATATCTGAAAGGCATGCTAGCTGAAAGCTACTCCAGGGCCACTCTGCCTCTGACCCTTACTCCAGCCTTCATGTAGACTCTGGGAACCTACCCCAGAGCCTAGAATTCCCAACCACCTTGCATGAGTCTACTAAGTACTGGATTACAAGCTGGGCCACCACACCCAGCCAGTACTGTATTTCTTGCTTGTTTGGGTTCAGCCTTTGCTAATCAGTACTATATTCAGCTCGCTCGGTGACTTTAATAAGGACTGACTTGTAAAACCAGTACCTGCTGACAGTGTGGTGGTGCATGCCTTCAATCTTAGTACTCAGGGAGCAAAGGCAGGCCCATATGAATTTGAAGCTGGCCCAGTAGACTGGGTGAGATCTAGGGCTGCACAGAGAGACCATGTCTTGAAACCAAAAAACAAACAAGCACCTGCTGACTTGGCCCAAGATGGGGGGTTTTCTTCAGGTGTCCCAAAGATGCTAGAAGCCATCTTGTTCTTCCTCACAGGCTGTTCTGTTGGCTCATCAAAGCCTAATGAAAAATTGGACCCACCACCTGGAGGCCGCAAAACCCTAAAAACAATGGTAAAATGTTAACTTCAGATCACACCGAAACACTCCTTGGATAAATATGTCCAAATACCTTCACTTCTCTGATCCTTCGCCCCTCCTCCAAGACTGCCGCTAACAAGGAGGACTTGAATCATCCGTTGTAAACCCACTGCTGGAGGGTCAAGGTACCAACTGTGCTTTATCCATCTGCATTAAGATGGACCATCCACCACATCCGAAAGCTGCATCAGCTGAGTGTCTCCACAAGTAACAGACAATATGTCCCTTTGAGCAAGGGTAAGAGGCAGAAGGAGCCTTGTCTCTCTGGACTTAGCTAAATATATTTGCAAAGAAATTCAGAACACCATCTTGTTATTACACCTGTGATCAGAATTTGGGAGGGCAGCGATGCACAGCAGACAAGGGGCAATGCCTGCTAAGCCGGCAGACCTGAGGTGGGTCCCAGCACCTACACAGTGGTTCACAGCCATCTCTAACTTCAATTCTGGAGGCTCTGGCACTCTCTTCTGGCCTCTGCTGGCACTACACATACATACACAGGCAAAGCACTCATGTACATATGTTAGACTATCTGGGACTGGCCTTTAGGCCCAGCATTTGGGAGGCAGAGGATCTTCATGGATGGGTTCAACACCAGCCTAGCCTAGGACTGGATGTAGCTACAGTTTCCAACACCATACAGCAGCTTACAACCATCTGTAACTCCAATTCTGAGGAACCTGATGCTCTCCCCCTGGCCTCCATGGGCAGCAGGCAAGTACACAGTGCACATATGTACACGCAGGCAAAACCAGACAGAAAGATGAGTGCAATCTTTTTATTTAAGAAATCAACACAAATGTTGAAAAAACCCTGAGCATCCACACCTTCAAAAGAATCCTAGATCCTAACACGCACTCACCTTGTACAAAAGTCAATTTAAAGTGTTGAGAACCTTAACGTAAGACCCAAGAGTCCCAGACTAGAGGTGTTCTCGTTCCTCGGTTTGGCTCCCAGCAACCATGCTGCAGCATACAACCACTCCTAACTCTAGCACTGCACACTGCACTCACATGCACAGCACACAGATATACACTTAATTAAAAATAAAAATAAAATCTTAGCCAGGTGTGGCAGCATGTATGTGCCTTTAATCCCAACACTGGAGGCAGAGGCAGGCAGATCTCAGGAATCAGGGTTCAAGACCAGCCTGGCGTGTGTATGAAGTTGCAATCTAACCAGGGATACATAGTGAGACTGTTTCAGAAAAATATAAATAACACACTTGGCATGGTCTTGCTGAAGAGCCATCAATCAGCACACCACAGAGATGCACAAGCACCTATGTTTACTGCAGAACTGTTCAGGTGGCCTGCCATAAAGAAAGCATACAAAACACGCTACATGGAGCTGCTGGAAGGTGGTGGTCCATGCTTTTAATGCCAGCACTGAGGAGGCAATCTGGGGGATCTCTGTGAGTTCGAGGCCAGCCTGTTCTACAAATAAGTTCCAGGACAGCCAAGGCTACATAGAGAAACTGTCTTGAAAATAAAAGCAAGCGCCACGGTGCTTTAGTCAGCCACACAGAGGGCTGAGAGGGAGATGGGCTGGAGAAGGTCAGTGGAGACTGGCACACTGAGACAGATACACGAAGGCAGTATACAGTGTTAGTCCTCATTTATGGACCCTAGATCACAGACACATAAAACTACGTCTTACCATAAGAGCAGAAGGAAAGCAGGAAGGAGGGAGAAGGAGACACACTAGAAGCACAATATACTTGTGAGGATCAACTCAAGGTCATCCTTGGCTACATGGCAAATTCAGACCAGTCTTGACTACATAAGACCCTGTCCCAAAAACCAAAACGAGAACACTCTGTCCTAATGAAACCCATTGGTATGTACAATAAACACATGCCAAATCTCTGTGTTTTGACTGGTGGATGGAGGTGGCTCAGCAGTGAAGTGCACTTGCTGCTCCTGCAGGGACTCCAGCTCTGCTCAGTTCGGGGCTCACGGGTAGGTGGCTCCAGGACCATTCTTCTTGTGGTTTTGATTTCTGAGACAGGTTTTCTCCTTGTAGCCCTATGGTCCTGGAACGCAGTCCATAGCCCAGGGTGGCCTTGAACTCGTACAGATCCCCCTGCCTCTACCTCCTGAGTGCTACAATTAAAGGTGTGGGCCAACTGCTTTCTGATCTCCAGAGGCACAGGCATGCATGTGGTACACATATATACAGGCAAGGCACATAAAAATAAGTCTAAAAACTTTCTTTAAATTTGAATGGTTTTGCCAGCCGGTGGTGGTGCACACCTTTAATCCCAGCACTTGGGAGGCAGAGGCAGGCAGATTTCTGAGTTCGAGGCCACCCTGGTCTACAAAGTGAGTTCCAGGACAGCTAGGGCTATACAGAGAAACCCTGTCTCGAAAAAGCAAAAATAAATAAATAAATTTGAATGTTTTTTTAAAAAGATACAAGAATGGAGCTCACGCAGCTGATCCCAGCCAGCACTCAGGAAGAAGCTGAGGGAGGGAGATTTCTGCAGCTCCAGGCCAGCCAAGACTACACTGAGACTGTCTCAAAATATCAAAAAATAAAGTGCATTTCCAAAAGTCTTTCTAGTTTGTTCATTTCTAGCTGTAAAGCCAGACAGGTAAAAATGTGGTATGACAAGAATCCTTTGCCATTTGCCTTATAGCTTAATTAAGGTGTCCAATTTTATAAAGCCATGTGTGCTTGGAGAGTCTGAACTCACCAGTTCTTGCTGTGTCTGTTTTTGTTCCAGATCCTTCTTCTTTGACAGGTTTAGTGGCTCATGCCTATAATCCCAACATTTAAGAGGTCCAAAGAGAAGGACCACAGTTAAATTCAAGGCCAATCTGGGCTACTCAAGACTGTGTAGAGGGGCTGGGCAGTGGTGGCACACGCCTTTAATCCCAGCACTTAGGAGGCAGAGGCAGGCAGATTTTTGAGTTTGAGGCCAGCCTGGTCTACAGAGTGAGTTCCAGGACAGCCAGGACTACACAGAGAAACCCTGTCTCGAAAAGCCAAAAAAAAAAAAAAAAAAAAAAAAAAAAAAAACTGAGTAGAGGGAAGTTAGGTGTGGCTATGCACACCTGTAATCCCAGCCCTAGGGAAACAAGGCAGCCTGATATACATGGGGTTGGGGGTGAGAAAGGCTTCCCAAGCCAGTCACAGAGCTAGAGAGCAGGCAAAGAGAAAACAGAACACAAGATAGTACCATGAGTATACAAAATCCTCTTAAGATACTAAAACGAAGCACAAGAGAAAAACAAGAGTGTCAACTTCACAGCAGGACAGTGCGCCTGCCAGGCATGCAGCCTCAGGTACTGGGAGACTAAGGCAGGAGAGCCATGAGTCCAGAAGGTCGATACCACCTTGGACAACGTATAGAAGTGTCATTAGCTATGGTGTTCTGTGTGCCTTGGTTGTGTCTGTGGTTCCAGGGACACAGCTCTCTCCCTATGGGGAGCCACAGAAGCAGGCATGTCTGTCACTACAATATCCACTGCTGACACTGTGCTGGACTAAATTTATCTGGAGCTCTTTTTCTAAACAACAAATTTGTGTGTGTGTGTGTGTGTGTGTGTATGTGTTTCGAGACAGGGTTTCTCTGTGTAGCCCTGGCTGTTCTGGAACTCACTCTGTAGACCAGGCTAGCCTTGAACTCAGAAATCCACCTGCATGAGGATCTCTGAGTTCGAGACCAGGCTGTTTTACAAGGTGAGTTTACAATCAGGAGCAACACAATGAGGTCTTGTCTCAATAAATAAAGGAAAGAAAGAAGGAAAGAGAGAGAGAAAGAGAGAAAGAGAGAGAGAGAGAGAGAGAGAGAGAGAGAGAGAGAGAGAGAGAAGAAGAGAGGGAGAAGGGAAGAAGAGGGAGGAGGGACGGCAGGTGGAGGATGCTATGAGGCCACATCTCTCTAATGCCAAGTGCTGCGGACAGAAGCAGAGGAATTACAATTCAAGGTCTGTCTGGGCTTTATTTTGACCAAAAAAAAAAAAAAAAAGGAGAGGCAAAAAACCTTCTGTTTCCCAACACACAGTGTTAGAGTTAAACCACAAGAGCTACATTACTTGAGGCAGGGTCACAAGCAGCCCAGGCTGGCTGGGAACTCATGGATTCTCTTGGAATGTGCCTTTTGTCCAAGCTTCACCTGCAGCTGTGCACGGAGCAGTGATGTCTCCATAAAAACCCAAGAGAGAGCTAGGTAGGGTGGTGTAAGCCTTTAATCCCAGCACTCCAGAGTCAGGCAGATCTGAGCCCTACCTAGCCCAACCTGGTCTACAGAGTTAGTTCCAGGACAGCCAGGGCTACACAGAGAGCTTCTGCCTCAAGAAACAAAGACAAGAGAGCTTCTTCCGGGTAGCTGAAACTGGAGGTCCCAGGAGGAGACACACTTGTGGTGGCCACCAAAGCCCTGCACCTTTCTCTCAACTTACTCTATACCTAATTATACCCTTCATGATAAACCTATAAATGTGGGAGAGTTTTCTCAAATTTATAGCAAATTAATTAAACCTAAGGGCAGGTTACAGGAATCCTGCTTTATAGCCAGTGTGTCAAAAGCACAGAAAAAGAAGGGGAGAGGGAGTAACCTAAAAGCCAGGCACTGTAATTCATGCTTGTAATCCCAGGAGATGGGGTGCTGAGACAGAAGGACTGCTGTGAATTTGAAGCCAGCCTGGACTAAAGTGAACTCAAGGTTACCCCAGGCTAGAAACAAAATCCTGCTTTAAAAAAAGTGATTACCAGTATAGCAGTATAGTTCAGCTGGTAGAACATTTGCCTAGCAGAAGTCTTGGGTTCAATTCCCAGGACTGCATAAAGCAGACATACAGGGCACCCTGAATCCAGTGTGCAGGAGGCACTTATCTCCAGGTGTCCCAACTCAGGTGCATTAGAGAACACTAGCAGGTGCCTACTGTGGGCCTATCAATGCAGCATCTGCCACCGGCGAGGCCCCACACACCAAGTGACAGATGTCTGGTGTG